TTTTTTCGGGGCTACTTAGGTATATAGGGACTACGTAAGGCAAAAAAGGGGTTATACAGGGAAATAAGATTCAGGGTCCCCCCTTAAGGCCTGTGAGAGCCCAAGCGAAACTGGCCCCTGAATCAGGGCTTAGGGTTTAGGGTTTAGGATTTAGGGTTCAGGGTTCAGGGTTTAGGGCTTATGGTTTGGGATCTTTGGGGCTTGGGGCCTTTGGGGTTTAAGGTATGGGGCCTTTCGGGTTTAAGGTCTAGGGCTTCGGGTTTGGGGTTTCGGGCTCCAGGCTAAGCCTCAAAGCCATTGCCCTCTCTTTCTTTCTCCTACGGTCCCATTTCCGTTACACGTACGAGGCCTTAAATTCGCCTCGGCTTCCTGCCGAGAAGCGTCTGGAACAAGCAGACCCACCCCCCCCCGCCCTGTGGGACCCCCCCCCCAATCGCTTGGAGGTGCTGCAAACCCCCTCCTTCCTTGCTCCCCCCCCCTCACCTCACCCCTCCCCCCTCCCCCCTCCCCCCTCCCCTCCCTCCCCCCGCCCCCCCTCCCCCTCCCCCCTCCCACCTCCCCCCTCTCCCCCCTCCCCCCTCCCCTCCCCCCTCCCCCCCCCTCCCCCCTCCCCCCTCCCCCCCCCCCCCCCCCCCCCCCCCTTTAACCCCGCTGCCCTTCCTCCCCTTTTTTTGCGAAACCCTCTTTCCTCCTTTCCTTTCCTGGGGCCGGCCCGGCTGCCGATGGCGCGCGCAAGCGTTTACAATTCTCCATCCCAACCTATTCCACTGGACCCGAAGCCCAGAACCCAAAAATCCTGAAATCCCCAACTTCGAAGCCTAAGGCCCTTGACCCCAAACCCTGACAAGCGCTGACGCCGGTGGGCTTGACCTGACAATGGCCTTCTGGGGGCCTCTGACAATGGTCGCGGTAGTCCGACAAAGCCCTGCATCCTGAAATTTCTGCCTGAAATTGCGACTTGAAATCGGCAGCGCTCGGGCCCGACACATAAACCACTCTCCGACATGTGCAGACCCTAAACCCCTAAACCCCTAAACCCCTAAACCCCTAAACCCCGAAACCCCGAAACCCCGAAACCCCTAAACCCCTAAACCCCTAAACCCCTAAACCCCTAAACCCCTAAACCCCTAAACCTAAACCCCTAAACCCCTAAACCCCTAAACCCCTAAACCCCTAAACCCCTAAACCCCTAAACCCCTAAACCCCTAAACCCCTAAACCCCTAAACCCTAACCCTCAACCCAAAACCCGAAATCCTCAACCCTAAGCCTCAATTCCTTAGCTGATGCGAATCGGCCCTGGGAACGCCGACTTCGCTATTGCGTTGGAAACGCGTCCAGGGACACCATACATCATGCACCCCAACTGTCATACGTACGTACGTACGTACGTACATACATACATACATACATACTGACATACATGACATAGTTACACGATATGTATAACCTGCGATTCAGGCTTAGATTAATAGAGCCCCTGCGCAGAGTTCTGGGGAGCCTGGGCCCGTGCGTCCTCGAACTCCAGGGTGGGAATGAGGCGAAGCTGCAGAGCGCTTAGGATTTAAGGGTTAAGGGTTAAGGGTTAAGGGTTTAGGGTTTAGGGTTTAGGGTTTAGGGTTTAAAGTAGGGTTTAGGGTTTAAAGTTTAGGGTTTAGGGTTTAGGGCGAGCTTCGTTGGGAATCCACCGGTGGACAAGGTGCCACCATACGTTTAGGGCTCGGGGTCCAGGGATTCATATAGGGGTTTAAGTAGCTGGGTGGAAGGCTTTCGGGCTTGGGCTGGGTGAGGAAGGAGGCAAGCATTGCTCGCAACGTGAACTCAACCTGCTGTTACAGTTCCAGGTGGCACAGCTGAAGCTGGAAGTGGTCACTTCTCTAAATTATGGTCCATTTTTGGGGTACCCTACAGAAGAGGGGCCACCAAGAAAGAAAGGACTCCAAAAAGGGGCCATAGTTTTAGAGAGTTACCCATGCGTCACTGGGAGCCCCGACATGGCGCGAAGTTGATCCCTCCATGGTGCAGCCCGAGACCCGAAACTCAAGGGCCCGGTGGCAAGTTAGAAAGCGGAGACTCGGCCCAGCAAATCCGAAACCCCTATAGATAAGAAGAATGCTAAAGCCATTCTAGTACTAATGCTAAGTAATCTGTAAGTATACTTTTTTCATACAACATACGTATATGTAATATAGAACAACAAGCCCTAAACCACAAGCCACTGCCTTGGCCCCAATCTGGAAGGTCGCACGTGGTGGGCGTCCCCCCTGCCGGAGAATGCAACATGGAGAGAAACGGAGTAGGGCTTAGGCTTAGGGCTTAGGGCTTAGGGCTTAGGGCTTAGGGCTTAGGGCTTAGGGCTCAGGGCTCAGGGCTCAGGGCTCAGGGCTTAGGGCTTAGGGCTTAGGGCTTAGGGCTTAGGGCTTAGGGCTTAGGGTTTTCGGTCTTTCTCGAGGGAGTCCTTGTTTCTTTGCTTAGCCTGGTGAACTCTTACGGCTTCTGCTGCGATGATTCCGACGATTGCTGCAGCACCGGTTTATCGCTGTATGCCTGTTACGGTATTGATGTTGCTATGGCTTTCGGAGCTGGGAATATCTGGCCTTGTTCAGGCGATCAGGCTGTCTGGAAGCGTGGCAGCTATCAAGCCGCAGGAGATCACTCTTCTCTTAGACAGGCATGCGGCATGTCTGGTTTCGCATGACAGTCGGCCGCATAGACCTCAACAGTACTAGTACCAGCATCCGCCCGAAAGAGCGCGTGCTTGTGCAACAGGGGCGACAGCTCCACTCAAGCTCTTGCCTCAGCTGAGCCTCACACCATGCCCGACATTGTCTGAACACTGAAAAAACCACCCTAAACCCTAAACCCTAAACCCTAAACCCTAAACCCTAAACCTCAAGTGACAAGGCCCTCATGCCCAGACCCAGAACTCTTGGTTGCACCTGGCTGGTCGGGAAGATCTCCTTCCTTGGCTCATTCTCACTTGAGTCTTGGCATCATGGGTCGAAAGAGTCTAAAGCCGGAAGTTCTGGCGACGAGCGGGAGCATGCTTAGGGTTTAGGGTTTAGGCCGTAGGGTTTTGGGTTTAGGGTTTGGGGTTTGGGGTTTGGGGTAGAGGGTTTGAGGCTGCGCCGTCTCTGGAAACGAACCCGACTGAGAAGCCAAAGCCCGCAAACCCTTCAACAGATGCAGCTCTCAAGGGAAGCTAAATCGCTTTTCAGGCGCTTTCTGGGGAAGGGCGGCGCTGCTATGCGTCGGGTGCCAAAGCGTGGAGTTCTGGCATCGAGGCACATTGCCATCGATTGAGATAGCTCCCTGAAACCCTGAACCGTAAACCCAACATCCCTGCGCAGTGCTAGGATTCGCAAGCATCTTTGGCCATTTGCGGAGAGCAACTTAGACTTACTGCCTCACTCATGCCTCACTCATGCCTGCCCGCCTATCCTTCTGTACACAGGATGAAGCGAACAGGCGCATCCTGAGTGGCCTTGCAGCTCAGTTTTTCGCAGAGATCACACAGAGCATGACTACTTGGGAGATCCAGGATCACGATCAAGACTCCTCGCATCTTCGGGTCCTTGGGCTTCTTCATCCAAGCTCCGAGCTGCTGCTCTAAGCTCCCCTCCTCTGGAGGAGACGTGTGGTCACCTTCAACCAGCGCTTGCCCAGTGAAGCGGAGAACTATCAGGTGCCACCGCAGCAACTTGGCGCCATGAATGCCAGAAGAGGTTGGGCCAAGCGGCCCTCCACTTCAGGAACAAGGCCGCAGGACAGGCGCAGCTGTGCATGTGCCATCCGGACGAGGTCCTCCTGGCTTGGCGGCGGGCTCAGCAACTCCTCGTTCTGAACATGGACACGGAACGCTTCTTGCATCACCTCATTTGACATTCCCTTCCTCTCTTCTTCCCATTCCTGCGAGGCTGAACTCAGAACCAGGTGCCGGAGCGCAGCGGCACCAGACCTTGCGTGCTTGTCATTTAGATGGAGTGAGTACTGCAACTCTTTGCTGAAATTCGCAGGGAACTGTAGACGGGTTGGGTCGATCGAAAAGCCAGTGCAATCGATGACTGCCCCGCGCTCGCTTCTGCACATCAGAACGAGCGGCGCAGGAAGGCGTGATACCCGCTCAGTGGCGGAGACCTGTGCCACCTCAAGCCAGTGTTGGCACATTTCATGTTTCAAAGTCTTCAGGCCAGGGTCAAAGTTTTGCATCAAGGCTAAGTTGAACATGTTCCACTCTTCAGCTGGTGACACTAGGTGTGAATAGACCTTCATGAACTTGATGGAGGCCACACCGTCCGACATCCCCCAACTCTCGAGCACGCGCATCGACTGGAGATTGTCTACCTCCGGTGCCGTCTTGGCAGTCCAGGATCTGTTGAACTGCGCGGACTTGGGATTGGACGCTGCGTCTGCCATGGCCGCCAGATGCTTTCGGCACAGCTCAAAGCCATTGGCGCGCACGACGATCACAATTCCTAAGCCACGGCATAGCTTTGGTAGACTCGTTACTGTGCAAAAGGAGGGTTTTCATGTAAGAGAACCTATCGGTAAAGAGCACTTAGCCCTACATGCAAAAAGAGAATTCAAGGCCCACTCTCTCTGGGGTCCTAGGTTCGCCAATGGGCACGTGCAAGCTCAGAACTCTTGCTCTTGACCTTCTCGCCAGAGTCGTCGAACATGTCGAAGCAGAACCTGCCAACGCCCAGATCGGCCTTCAAGGCATTTTCTACCTGTTCCAGGCTGGCGTCCGCTGGCAAACCGTCTACGTGGCACAAAGCTTCCCCTGCCAGACTGTAGCAGTCGACCTTGATGCCTGAAGTGTCACTGCAAACCAGGGCCGCCAGGGAACTGCCGGCCACAATCTGCATCACACCTGCACAAGCGCAGAAGATGTCCAAGATATGCTCGAGCCTCAACGCCAGCATCGGTGAGCTGTTGCGAAGGCAACGGGTCTCGCCCCAAGTGCTTGCGCACCCTGTAGACCCCAAACGCTAGTCGTTTGTTCCACCCTAACTCCTAAACCCGAAAACCGAACCCTGAACCCTGGACCTTGATCCTTCCCAAACTCTCCTTCACAGACAAGCTCGCTGCGATCATGCAAAGCACTACACTGGCGGTGCACAGCGAAGCAAGGTGGACTCTGGAAAAGTTGGGTACAAGCTGTGGAGATGCTACTTTTCAACGTTATTGCAGCTGATTGGGCATCGCATTGGCGAGTTTTCAGAACTGGCCGCTAGCCACCTCCTGTGCCTGATAGCCCAGAGACCTGGAGCCTGGAGCAACACGGCAACGTTAAACAACATCTTGTTTCATCCCAGGTTCAAGTAGCGGAAGGTCTTGATCTTCACCGCGTCCTGCCAACAGAAGCAGGCACGAATGAGGCATCATCAACAACCCCTTGTGCTCGCGAAATGCTGAAGGCAGATCCCGTACATGCCCTAGGCCCGAATCTCTGAGAGCTGGTGCATGCAAATCCGAAAAAAAGGTTTAGGGTTAGGGTTTATGGTTAAGGGTTTTGGGTTTGGGGGTTTAGGGGTTTAGGGTTTAGGGGAGCACAGATACTCGAGCACATCCGGGGTCCGAACTCTGCAATTGAACACCCCAACACGGACTTTCTTTTGAATTCTTTCCTCGCGATAAGGAGCCCCGTAAGCCCTTAGCCCTAAACCCGAAACCCGAAGCCCAAAACCCTAAACCCTAAACCCTAAACCCTAAACCCTAAACCCTAAACCCTAAACCCTAAACCCTAGAAGGGATCCGAACTTTGGAGCCCCCAAACCCTAAGCAACCCCCTTTGCGAGTACGTGAAGGCGGGCCTTGTCGACGCCAACGAAGACGTAGCCTCCAAGGATACGTTAAGATTAGGGTTTACGATGGGTTTAGGCAGGGCTTGGGCAAAGGTTAGGGCTCTTGTTTCAGGGCGTTCTCTCATCACTTTTGCATAGTTGCCAGGCCGTTCTGATTCAACTTGTGACAGCTATCGGAGACCGAACGAGGCGTCAAAAATGCAAGCAAGGTGCCTCAATTTGATACGATGAAAGTCCTAGACCGAAGACTCCGTGTCGAAAAAAAAACTCGGACCAAAAGAATGGCAGCGATAAGTAAAGATGCAGGGCAACCGTTTTTATGGACAGACAACATATGTACATATGTGCATAGGTGTGTATAGATATAATTCCCGAAACCCCAAACCCTAAACCCTAAACCCTAAATCCTGAACCCTATACCCTAAACCCTAAACCCTAAGCCTATATTGTGTCATGTTTTGGCCCAGACGCAACACCCAAAGGCTTGGCATCCCAGCTCGAAGGATCAGGAAGTTGCCAGTCATCCTCCTTGTTGCTCTGGAGCCTGCAGGCTCTCACTTTCAGCCATTCAGGTGGATGGTTTCGGGTTTAGGGTGTAGGGTCTAGGGTTTCGGGTTTAGGGTTTAGGGGGGCATGGCCCTGGAGGTCCTACCAAGGACTTGCCTCTTGAGAATCTTCCTGTTCTTTCGCTGGCACTTCCGAGGGTGGAACCTGGCAAAGGACCACAACATTGGCTGAGCTACCAACAAATATGTTATATGCACAAATGTATTTTGTAGCGTTTTTTCAGTTGGAATGTATATGTATATATATATGTATGTATATATATATATGCACACACACACACACATAGAGTGAGAGAGATGCTAATAATGCTAATGATGCTGATAAAAGAAAGAATACTCGCACAGAAGTGCACCGGCCTCGATCCGAAGCAGCAAGTCAGCTACACACGCTGTCCAAAATTCCTCGTCTCTCCAAACCGCTCAGAGGTTTATCCACACCCCTTTGCATGCACCTTTGTATCGGGGCCGGATATATTTACTAATAGTATTCCCACCTATGGTTCCTGCATATTATACCAGAATACCCCCCAAAGCCCTATTCTGAGTATTCAGGCCCCAAATGGAATGGTCCCTTTATACTTGCACCGCAAAGATAGCGTGTTGCTACCGCGAATACCACAATGACCCCACCCTAAACCCTAAACCCTAAACCCTAAACCCTAAACCCTAAACCCTTCTAACTATTCAGACCCCTTTATCGTACACGAATGGTGAATGCGCAGTTGGCCGGCAGCACATATGGCAGAAGCGGCAGTCGGCACCTGAGGTTGACTGGATTTAGGGGTTTTGGTTTAGGGTTTAGGGCTTAGGGCTTAGGGTTTAGGGTTTAGGGTTTTGGGTTTGGGGTTTAGGGTTTAGGGTTTAGGGTTTAGGGTTTAGAGTTTAGGGTTTAGGGTTTAGGGTCTACGGTGGTTTTGTGGAGCACTTGGCAAGTACAACAAGCACCGAGCACCTGTTGAATCGTGCGATCGTTCGCTTGCCGTACAGCTTCTGCGTTGCAGCTCGGGTTTAGGGTTTAGGGTTTAGGGTTTAGGGTTAGGGTTTAGGGTTTAGGGTTTAGGGTTCAGGGTTTAGGGTTTAGGGTTTAGGGTTTAGGGTTTAGACGCGACAAGTTGGTACGAGCCGAAGCGAGCAATTCTACGTGACGTCAGAGCTTGACTTCCAAGCGCGACCCCATCTCGGCCCTTCTGGACAGCTAACGACTATGAATGCTAGAACAGTGACCCTCTAGGCCCTAAACCCTAAACCCTAAACCCTACACCCTACTTAAGCCATTCTTTGGCTCCCTCTTCCCTGAAGGCCATTACCGGCCAAGACTTTTCGGGTTTGATTGCCGAATGTCGAAGCATCATTCAGGACTGGGGAAGCTGCCCATGCGGCAGCCCGATGAACTGAAAAAATGGAACTGGCACCTGGGTTTGAGGGCATACCAGGCAGGCAAAGCCAAGGTCAGGTTTAGGGTTTGGGGCTTTAGTGTGCGGGTTAGATACTCTCCACCAGTGTCAGAAAAGGCAGGCATCAAGTCAGCTCGTCAGGGATCCACATTTACATGGCATGCTGTCGCCTGGCGGGACGGCGGGACTACACTGCTGCAAATCACAGATATAGAGTATAGACATCGAGCTGTGAGGGGACTCTTTGCTTTGGTAGTAGTCGCAGCCTCCCAAGCACCAGACCACATGTGCACAACTGTTCTCTCAGCCCCAGGCTCTGTGCACTTGTCCGGATGTGCAGTGCTGCCAATGCTGATCGCGCTTGCCGCTTCCCTCGGCGGCAGCTGAAAGTGCGGTCGTGGGGTTTAGGGTTTGGGGTTTAGGGTTTAGGATTTAGGGTTTAGGGTTTAGAGGTTCAGTCTCACACGAGCGCGACGATGCAAAATGCCAAGCACGCAAGCTCAGCTTGTTCTGCGATCGGTCGCTTCTGGCTGCTTCTTAAGCCACTCTGCTTCGGCACGCCCTAACCCGGACACATCATAACCCAAATCCACTACAACATCACCTCAGGACCCCGCCTCTCGGCTTCATCGTCCTCGTTGTCCCGGAAGCCTGGCCAAGGCTTCCGCACTCGGCTTCGGAAGCTCTGCAAGAGGGACCGCTGGGAAGAGAGGGGTTCTCTCCCCCTAAGCCCCTCCACAAGCCCCTCTCCACAAGCCCCCTCCCCACACCCCCCCACCCTGCCCCCCCCTGTGAACAGCCAGGGTAGAAAGGGATCGCTCCTGAGTCAGCACCTTGACCAGAGTGGGGAAGCTGCTCGCTGTCCTGGCGACAGAACCTAGCTATAAGTCGGCGTACCTCCTCAAATATCGTCAGCGAACTGGCGAAGTTTGCAGAACTTAACAACAGCTGAACAGGCACTGAACCATTCATTGCGGCAGCAGCTGTCATCTCTTTCAAAGAGGAACATGACACGGTTGAGAGAATGACCGCGGTGAGCAACTCCAGTAACCCTAAACCCTAAACCCGATACCCTAAACCCTAAACCTTGCAGGTCCATGTCTCCAAGCTCACCAGCTGCAGCACACGCGAGCAATGAACCTATTCACCCACGCGGTCCTCCATCTGTAGCCTGCTCTGCTTAAGGCTCGGGGCGAAGCTGCATAGGTTTAGGGTTTAGGGTTTAGGGTTTAGGGTTTAGGGTTTAGGGTTTAGGGTTTAGGGTTTAGGGTTTAGGGTTTAGGGTTTAGGGTTTAGGGTTTAGGGTTTAGGGTTTAGGGTTTAGGGTTTAGGGTTTAGGCTAGGGTTTAGGGTTTAGGGTTTAGGGTTTAGGGTTTAGGGTTTAGGGTTTAGGGTTTAGGGTTTAGGGTTTAGGGTCCGCCGACCCTGGCGGCGTGTTGGATGGGAAAAGGAGGTGAAAACCTCCCTCTTTCCCTCCTTACCCCTCAAAACGCGGGGGGGGGGGGGGGGGGGGGGGGGGGGGGGGGGGGGGGGGGGGGGGGGGGGGGGTAACCGGGCAGCTTTGAAACCCCCCCCCCCTACCCTTTCCCCCGCCCCCCCCACCCCCCCCCCACCGCTTCAGCTCCTGTTTGGGTCCTGGTGCTGCCCCCTACCCCCACCCCCCCAACGTTTCACAGAGGCTCAAGCAAATCAACTTTTGGCATCCTTTGAGCTGACGAGCGCGTTTAAACCTTTCAACTATGCTCCAGCGGGGTCGGCGGCTTGAGCCGGAGGCTCTTAAATTTAGGGTTTAGGGTTTAGGGTTTAGGGTGTAGGGTTCAGGGTTTAGGGTTTAGGGTCTCTGGGTTACCTCCACCCCTGGTTCAGGGATCTTGTTTCAGTCCGAGGGCAGGTCAGAATTGTGTTGAACATCAGTATCCCTTCTCCAGCAGCTGGCCTTCCAGTTCAAGGTTGCAAGGTGAAAAAGCCCCAACACTCCGTCTGGACTTCACCAGCTCCTGAAGAGAGCAAAATGAGTGAAACCAAGCCATAAGGTGGTCTGAACCGCCCAAAAATCGAAAATCCTTCACCCCGAAACCGTCAACTCTTGAACCCCTTGAAAACCCTTCAAACCCCTTGAAACCCCTTTAAACCCCTGTAAACCCCTCGAAACCCCTTG